GAATGCATTCCTCCATTCTTTACATCCTGGGGATTTTCCTATCTGTCTATATTCCAAGTATTTTTTTGCTAGTCTTGGCTTATCTATATGGTTTCTCCATAGGTGATATCTCACTAGTGTAAGTCTAGTGTAGAGGATACTCTGTAAGTAGCAAAAATTATTGTTGTGGGGTTTTTAGTGTAAAGGAGACTTAAGTTGTGTGTCAGAATGGTGGTAACTGTCTTTTTATTTTTGCTAATTGGTGTTTGTTAACTCTACATTATGTTTACTCGGGGAAGTCTTCAATGACCAATTGGCTTGAGGGATAGGGCAAGAGGAAATGGCCTCAAGTTGCACCAGGGGAGGTTCAGGTTGGTTATCAGGAAAAATTTCTGTGGAAATGGTTGTCAAGCCCTGGCATAGGCTGCCTAGGGCAGTGGTGTCCTGGAGATGTGGCACTTGGGGACATGGTTTAGTGCTGGGCTTGGCAAGTCTGGGCCAATGATTTGACTCAATTATCACAGATCTTCTCCAGCCTAACCAGTTCTGTGCTTCCATTGCTGTAGTTCCCCCAGACATCATGGGAGAGGAGCAGAACGTCTCGGTGCTCGTCGGCCAGGCCGTGGAGCTGCTGTGCCAGAGCAATGCCATTCCCCGCCCCGTGCTGACCTGGCTCAAGGATGGGCAGCCCCTGCTGAAGAAGCCAGGGCTGAGCATCTCTGGTGATGGGAGTGTGCTGAAGGTGAGCTGGGCAGGCAGATCTTCAGGGCAGGATCCCCACAGGGAGGTACTGGGCACCACTGGAGATGGGACAGCGTTAGCTCTCTGGTGAGACAAACACCAACGTGTGAGGAGTGGCAGAGACCCCTGGGGGGTTTGTGTATGGATGTCTTAGGGGTAACACCCTGGTGTTAATGTTCAGATGTAAGAATCAAATTGAAACCTGTGCACCTTCTCCCTTATGTGTCTCAGGATACAGAGAAGGAGAAATGCAGGTTTTCCTTTTCTCCCCAGGTTGAAGGAGCTCAGGTGCAGGACACTGGCCGCTACACCTGTGAGGCAACCAATGTGGCTGGGAAAACTGAGAAGAACTATAATGTCAATATTTGGGGTAAGACTTATTAAGCTTGTTCCAGGAACTGGTACGAAAGTCAGAGCTGAGTTACGATGTGAGACACTGAAATCCTCTGGAGTTCATCAGCACTTAATCTCTGAGGCTCCTGCAGGGAGGTGTTATTATGTTTGCTGTAGTTGAACAGGCCCAAGCAAGGGCACATATTTCTCAGATTGCTTTGGTTTGGTCTAAATTAATATGAGCTAAGTTGTAGTAATTTCCTGTGCAGTCACAGGAGATGATGTGGCACTTGGTGCCATGGGCTAGTGACCACAGTAGATTTGGACTTGATGATCTTGGAGGTCTTTTCCAACCCGGTTGATTCTGTGATCATCAATTCTATGATTAGCAGCTTCGGTGGAATGAGCTTAATAGAAATGCCAGGTTGTCTGTGAAAGCTATCTGTGGGTAACTGCTTGGAATTAGAGCCTTCACTTACATCCCGGGCCCAAAAGTCCTGCCTGCCATGTTTTGAAGTTTTAAATCTGGGAAATGCATCCTGGTGAGAACTGGTGAGATCCTGGGAGCTAACTGCATCCAGGACCAGCCCATGAGTGGAATGGAGATGCTGCTCTGTAGAGAATGGCACAGACTTTCTGACTAGAACCAGGCCAAAGGGTTGAGGCCTACAGCACAATAAAGCCCCTTGCAGTGCCACAATGAAACCCATCTGGTTGCTGCTGGAGAGTTTGAGGTGTCAGAAGGAGAAGTGACTACTGTCACATGCATTAAAAACGTGCTGGATAACTATTCCCTAGGTTCAGCCTATGTTCTCTCCTTTTCTTTTAGTCTCTACATGGTTTTCATCTGATGAAAATGGTTCCCTGATTCCTAGAAGGCAATTATCCCTTCTCTAGGGATTGAACCAAAGCTCTTCAAGACCTTGAGAATCAGAGTAGAAACATTGGTCCTGTTTGTCTTGAAGGCTGGAAGTTTGGGCTGCAGTCATTCCCCAGTGGTTCATTCCTTACCCAGGGCTGGTTGCATTGTCAGCAGGAGGATACAATCCTTGTCACTGCTTCAGAATGCAGTGGCACAATTTACATGAGAGTCACTTGGGGTTTCCTGCTGGTGTGTTGTTACAAATGCTGCAATGAGTTGGCATTTCTTCACAGTGTCACCAAGTATTTATGGCTCAGATGACAGCTCCCAACTGACAGTGACTGAAGGGAACTTGATAAGCCTGATCTGTGAGTCCAGTGGCATCCCACCACCCAGTCTCACCTGGAAAAAGAACGGTGTGTAACTGTCCAGTGTCTGTTTTATAAAGCAGGTGGGATCATTCCAGCCTGATGGTTATTCTTGTTTTGGATGGTGTCCCTAAAATTCTACGAGTCTGTGATCAGGTGTCCTTACTCCTAAAGGTGTGCAAGACAAGCTCAGTGCAGAGATTTCTGAGCTGACAGAATGGTCTGTGAGGCACTAAACACCTTTCAATACACTCAGCATGGGACAGCCAGACAGCAGCAAGGTGCCCCATCCCTGGGAGTGTTCAAGGCCTGGTTAGATGAGGTTTTAAGCAAGTGGGAGGTGTCCCTGCCCATGGCAGGAGGGTTGGAGCTAGATGAACTCTAAGGTCCTTTCCAACCCAAACCATTCCAGGATTCCAAGAGTGTTTGTGGGTTTGGTGCCAGGACTGGGAGTCACTGGGAAGACCCGTGGTGTGGAGCTGAGGGTCTCTGCCCTGGGATGCACAGCACAGACAGGTCCCCTGAGTTGCTTCTCAGTTTGCAGCCATGGCATTCTGCCAAGCAATGAAAATGCTTCTAGTTGTAGTAATTGCTTTTGGGATTTACTGAACCTTTCTCTCATCCCATCTTATCTCAGGAGCAGTCTGCACACCTTTTTGCTTTAGGGGTTACACTACCAAACACCTTTCTAGGACTTGGCAGACAAAAGCAGATATTTTTAGCACCTGAAGCATGGACACTGTTGGAGACAAAATATTAGATAAACTAAGATGTCAGACTCTTTCAGTGTGGTAATTCTTGTGTTATTAGTCAATCTTACCTAGGTCTGTGTTTTTCTAGGCAGCACAATTCAGTGTGGGATGTACCTAACTTGATTCATTTTGGCTCATGGAAAGAGGAGGTTTTACTTACAAAACTTGGCTCATGGAAAGAGGAGGTTTTACTGGCAAAATACTTTCTCTAGTGCATAGAATTTTCAGGGAATATGAAGTTTATCAAGTGGTTTTTAAACCCTGTCTCTTGGGAACCAAAAAGATTTGTATGGTATGTTCTAACAATGCACTGCAAGGCTGACATGGGTGCACTCCACTGGCAGGAAGGAGAATTAAACCTGTTGGGAGGTCTAGAAAGGAGGAGGAGCAGATTTGTCAGCATGTCTGACATCTCATGCCCCTTGTAGAGTGGATTTTAAACACACAGCAGAGAAATGAAGATTGAACTGGTAAGAATTATCCATGGCAGGTTATTCCTTCTGTCACAAAGTCCTCCTGAGGTTTGGAAAGATGGAGATGCAGAATCTGAGGTCTCCAGTGCTGGAAAATCTGCTCAGAGAATGCAATGGTATTTGCTGTCATGTTTCTGCTGAGGATTCCCTGGGCAGAAGACTGAGATGTACAACACAGAGGTCATGTGAAAACTGAATTTTATGTCTGTAAGCACTGCTGGGTGAGACAATCATACGCTGAAAAATAGGTCCCATTTTACTGAAAGTGTTGAACATGCTGCTCAGTGGAGGCACCCAAAGCTTACTGTGCTTTAGCTCAGGGTGCTCTGTGCCATGAAGTCAGTGATTAAAGGACAAGTCCTCAGGATCTGCTTGTGAGAAGTTCCTGCTGTGTGGGCAAACTGGCAGAGCAGTTCTGAAAGGGGCAAATTGTGCTGCTCAGTCATTGTAAATGAGTCAGTGGGCTCCACACCATGTGATTTTGGTTTGCTCAGCACTGTTTTCCATGGCTTTGTCTGAAAGAAGGTCTCTTGCAGGCTCTGCTCTGGTGGCTGACCCGTCGGGGCGGGTGCGACTCCTGTCTGGGGGCAGACAGCTGCAGATCTCAGTTGCTGAGAAATCTGATGCTGCATCTTACACCTGTGTTGCTTCAAACGTGGCTGGAAGTGCCAGCAAAGAATACAGCTTGCAAGTGTACAGTGAGTACCAGGAGAGCCTGTTATGGTTTCCCAGTTCTGCAGCAGTGTTACGAGAGGGTTATTGGTGCTGTGATGTTCAGCTGCAGCATTTGCAGTGTCTGGCTCTAGGACAGTTTCAGGGTACTCCAAGGAGAATGTTAGGTAATGAAAATTTTGGGAGTTTGGAGCTTGACCAAGACATTGCATATCCCTGTTGAAACTGTGTGATTACAGGGACGTAACCCCTTAGATAGTGGAACGTTTCCTGTCTCCAAGCTGCAGTAGTGATGACAGCTAACTAAACTCAGATTTCTTTGATTCCCTTAGGTTTTACTGTACTGTGGCCAGGAATATAAGGAGATACTCCTAAACAATTCAATGAAAAAGAAACTCTTCAAAAACTCATAGGGGTTGACTGTTTGGGGCAGCCTTTTTTAGTTCAGTCTTTTCTCCAGTTTGCTCTTTTAGAATTGGATCTAAGTTAACATTTTGCAAAACGGTTTTACTTTTATGGGGTGGGAAACAAGGAGAGGTGCTGATTTGTCCTTTCCTGGCCCTGCTGATCTGGAAAACTTGATTGATACTCTGTTCAGAAGCAGGTGAAGATGCTGAAATGTAGCTCCCAGTTGACTTGTAGACTGTGTTTCTTTTCCTTCCATAGTTCGACCGTCTATATCGAACAGTGGCTCCCACCCATCAGAAGTCATTGTCACCCAGGGAAGTGAAGTGTCCTTGGAGTGCGAGGCACAGGGCATTCCAGAGCCAGCAGTGACCTGGATGAAGGATGGACATGCACTGGCCAGTGGAAGGGATGTGTCAGTACTTCAGGGTGGTCACATTCTCCAGCTGAAACGTGCCCAGGTGTCGGACACCGGTCGCTACGTCTGCGTGGCTGCTAACCTGGCTGGGCTGTCTGACAGGAAATATGACTTACATGTTCATGGTGAGTATCTGCCACACAGAGCAGGTGCAACAGAAACACATTAGGCCATGAAATTCACCCTAGGATGCCCAAGCAATAGTTGTGTGGCTCAACATACACCTGTACCCATTGCAGGGGATGCAGTTCCAGTTGCAGCTCACCAGTGCATTTTCAATGGTGGTGTTAGGAAAATCCAAACCCAATTTTGTAACTCCTGAATATTGTAAAACCTTGGACTCATAGAACCATCAAGGTTGGAGGAGACATTGATGATCATCAAGTCCAGGTGTAGAATGGAATGTGCTGCCCAGGGAGGTGGTGGATTCACCATCCCTGGAGGTTTTCAAGCTGAGACTGGATGTGGCACTTAGTGCCATGGGCTAGTGACCACGGGAGGGTTGGACTGGATGATCTTGAAGGTCTTTTCTGACCCTGTTGATTCTATGATTCTATGACTACTATAACTGTTATTTGCTATTAAGCCATTAAATAAAGTGATAGAACTGATAGAACTTAATATTTCCATGCCGTGGCACAGTAAGAAGTTGCCACTATACAGAGTATCAAATACCTGTTTTGTAGCTCCTCAGTTGCCAAGCTCACCTTGGCTTCAGTGAATTGTTGTTTGGCTGACAGAACCTGTTGTGAGCAAAAGGATTTTGTATTTGTTCTGAACGAAACATTTTCTTTGCTCCTTTCTGTAGTGCCCCCAAGTATTGCTGGTTACCTGCAGATGCCTGAAAACATCAGCATTGTGGAGAAGAACCCCATCTCTCTGGTTTGTGAAGCTTCAGGGATTCCCTTGCCAGCAATAACGTGGCTCAGGAATGGATGGCCTGTCACTCTGAACAACTCGGTGCGAATCCTCTCAGGTACATAGCTGGAGTTGTTTCAACAAAACACGAGGAGAGGAAGGGGCTGAAGGGCCTTCTGTATCTACAGTGCAGGTGTTGCACCTGGAAGAAGATGGTTTGGTTTAATTAGTGAACAGGAAAGAAGAAAAGTGGTTATTCAGTGCCAAGTTTTTCACTTGGTGGAGTCAGATTGGCTGAAGAGCTGAAAGTTGCTGCCTAACTGTTTGGGCTGTGGCATGGATACTTTTCTGACAGTAGTAATTGAGCCTGTCTGAAATGGTCTCAAGTTGTGTGTAAGAGGTTTAGATTAGATATTAGGGAAGTTTTCAGTGCCCAAAGGTTCTTTGCTTTGAGCCACAGGAAACAGCTTCAAGTTGTACCAGGGAAGGTTAAATTGGTTATTGGGAAACACTTATTGATTGCAGGGTGGTCAGCATTGGAACAGGCTGCTCAGGGAAGTGTCACCATCCCTGGAGGCACGGGAGACATGTAGCTATGGCACCTGGAGACATGGTTTAGTGGGGAGTGCTGGGCTAACAGTTGGGCTTGGTGATCTCTGAAGGCTTTTACAGCCTTAATGATTCCCTGAAATAGGAGGGGCTTGCTCCCTGTTCCTGCAGACCATCTTCCTGAAGGGCCTTGGGGAACTGAGGGTACTTGTCTGGCAGCTGCAGGGATGGTAAAGCTTTGTGTTTCCAGTAGGAAACTGAGCTTGAGGTGACAAATGAAAACCACTTACCAAGCAGGCAGTAACTTTTGTTTTGACTTTGTGTGTCTGGGGATCAGTTTTGGGGGGGGTGTATAAGTAATTAAGTATCTGGTGACAACTGAGATGTTTCTTTGATTTTGGGCTTGCCACTGGCCCATGGAAATCTCGTGAAAAATCAGTTTTGATGAAGTTTCTCATATTGTGGCATTGCTGCCATGCAAAGCCACAGCATTCTGCAGCATGAACCTCAAAAACCACCAGGCAGGTAGAGGAGCTGAGAGTGTTTGAGAGCTCAGCTAAGACTCTATCTGAAGCTGAAAAGTTTCAGGATTCTTTAATTATTAGTGGAGCTTTGGATGCCACAGGTAATCCTGTCCTCTGCTCTCCCATTTCTGCACATGGTGCCTGGAAAAAGGAGTGGGAGTGTGATTATTATCTGGTGCAAACCTGGTGGAGCTGGCGTGAGCTCCTTCTCGTGTCAAGTTGCCATCAGCAAAGCTGTGTCTTCTGGCCTTGATTGTCCTGTCTGTTGGTTTCTACACCCACACTAATATCACCACCCAGACTGCAGAGTCACAGGGGGTGAGAGACAAAAGGATGTTTATTGTCTCTGGCTGTTGGCTGCTGTAGGAGAGGGAAATGTGCCAGGGCTCAGGGCTTTGTTTTCCAGCAAACTTTGTGCTTCAGAAAGCTACACATTGTGGTAGTGAACTGTAACCAACATGGAACTTGGAACTTGTTTGTGCTTGCACAGCTGTAAAAAAAAAAAAAAAGGCAAACCCAACAACAATCCTCCTCCTCTTTGCTTAATTTAGGAGTTAAAAACTTTGCCCAAGCAAGAGTTTGGTTCTGTTGATTGAAAACATTCTTGGCATTGCAGATGACTGCAATGTGTGGACACACTGCTGGCAGCTTTTAGTCAGTTCAGATCACAGAATCATGGAATATCCTGAGCTGGAAGGGACCCACAGGATCACAGAATCTGACTCCATAGGGCAGTCCCAAGAATCCCACTGTGTGCCTGAGAGCAGTGTCCAGACACTGCTCATGTTTCCTTTGGAGAATGCTTCCTACATGTCCTGTAGGAAAAATAAACTGCACCACCTGCTTTCCTTGCAGCCCATGCCCTAAGCTGCACACTAGGATTAGGAAGGAGAAAAGCTCTTCTTTGGCTAAATGTGGAAAACCCTGTCCTGCCTCAGCACTGGAGGGCTTGGGTGTGCTGTGGTGTGTGACACCTGGGCAGGTTACAGTCTCCTCAGGCAGGTGTCTGCTCCATTAGTGTATTCAGGGACCTGAGCTGGATGTGCCAAGAGGATGATCAGACTCTGCTCAGTGGTGCAAACCAATAAAACAAGAGGCAACAGCAAACACCAATGCACAGGGAGTTCCACCTGAACATGAAGAAGAACTTCTTTGCTGAGCAGTCACTGAGCACTGAACAGATTACCCAGAGAGGCTGTGGATTCTCCCTCACTGGAGATATTCCAGAACCCTCTGGACACAACCTGAGCCATGAGCTCTGGGCTGGCCCTGCTGGGGCAGGAGATGTGACCAGATGAGCACTGTGGTCCCTTCCAACCTCACTGATTCTGGGATTCTTTGGCCTGGTTCAGGGGGTGGATGGGAGAAGGGATAAGGAACTCTGTGAGAACTGAGCCTTCTTCACTCTCCCTGCACTCTCTTTGTCTGACAACTGCTGAGCTCCAGCACTGGGAGAAATCTGTTGTTTGAAACCATTACCTGTAACCCAGTGTCACCTGTTAGTTACTGATTGCCTTTGGTTATTGATTGTCATTGGTTATTGTCACCTGTTGTTATTACTGATGGCACAATTGATGCAGATACTCGAAGGGAAGAGTGGAATTTTATCCCTCACCTGTACATGTGAAAATACCTTTAAGGTCTTTGTACCATTAAGTGTTTATAAACACCTTAAACAAAAAAAAACTATGAAACTTTATGAGTTTTCCTGTATATTCATCCAGACTCTCAGTATAGCAAAGCACTCATGACTCAAAAAATGACAGCAGGAACTCACTGTGTGTGGCCTGAGTGGGGCAGGTTGTGTTTTGTGGGGCTGTGTGTGGATCTTTGGATGTGTGCAGGGCTGTAGCAGTGGCTTTGGTCTCCCCAGGTGGCCGAACGCTGCGGTTGACACACACGAGTGTGGGGGACACAGGTCGATACACCTGTGTGGTGACCAATGCTGCAGGAGAAGTGAGGAAGGATTTTGACCTTTCTGTCCTTGGTAAGTGCATGATCCTTTTCTTTACAGTAGAAGAGGGAGCTTTGTACACTTTGTCTCATGGATACTTTGCTGGGGCTCTAAAAGTTTTATGCCAAAACATATGTCCTTATTGGAAAAAATAGAGTGAATTTGAACCTATTCCAGTGTCTCACCACCCGTAGAGTAAAAGACTTCTTCCTAATATCTAACCTAAATGTTCCCTCCTTCAATTTGAACCCACAATTTTGCCACATGATTTAGTTTTCTAAATGAGGATTTTTCCCAAAAAACTCTACTTTTTCGTTTAGTGACTGCTTTTATCAATAATCATGAGGCCTGATACATGTTGTCTTACAGAATTTCTGCATACAATTTTGCTGCAAGTTTCTTTTCTCTGAGGTGCTGAGCACCACCAGGTTCCCTTGCCCTCAGCTGATGTAGCTGTGTGATAACTCCATTCATGTCAGTTCTTGTTTATTTGATGAGCTCATGGAAGTGTAAGTGTGGTAGAATGGGAGAGATGGACAAACACTGAACAGCATTCATCTCCTGCCTGTTTTCTTTGGAGGGTTTTAGTGGGTGTTCTTGAGAGTTCTGGGAATCTCTATTGCATAGGCTTTGTTTGCCTTGAAGAAAAATGCTCAGTGAAGCTGATTTCAAGTGGAAAATTCCATTGTTCAGTCTTCTCTTCCCTCCCCACAGTAATTTCTTTGTCTTTCTAGAGGAAAGTTACTGGAATGTGGCCTGCTAGTGACACAGAGCCCTCCCCAGCTCACTGTCAGTGGGAACTGTCTGGTGATGTGCTGGGGTTTCTCTAGGCTCTTCTAGGAGGGGCAGCAGTTTGCAGGGAGAGCATAATATATGTGTCTTTGAGAAATGCTTGGTGTGGCTTTGCCATACTTTTGAAATGAATACGTGTTGACATCTTACTCTGTTGTTTTGAGGCCAAAGTGATGAGTTGCTGTGTTTGTTTATGAACAGTTACCTTTGGCCTGACTTCACTTAAAATCATGAAGTTCAGGACTTGTTTCCCCCTATTTGTTTCCTTCACTTGAATCTGAACCCTTCATTGGGTTCCCATGTGGAATTAGTTGGATTTGCATAAGACACACATATGGCTTTACACAGCATCCACTTGTTGGGAATTCACTCTTTGGTTTTTTTAGGACAGGTATTGTATAACCAAACACAAAGGTGAGTTTGCTTTCCACATCCTGGTTCCCTCAGCTTACCCTCCTCCCAGGACCATCCAGCAGCCTGCTGTGTTTAGATGCTGCAGATGATGTGTGCTGATGTTGTCTCCTTCTCTTTGCAGTGCCCCCAGGGATTGTGGGGGAAAACAGACTGGAGGATGTGAAAGTGAAAGAGAAGCACAGCGTTACCCTGGTGTGTGAAGTGATAGGTAAAAGAATTCTAGATTACTTCTCTTTGCTCATTAAACCCGTGGTATGGATCACTACTGGTGCTGAACAGCACGATTTTAATGGAATTTTCAGTTCAGTGGAATTTTGAAATAGAGCAGGACTAAGCACTCCTGGAAAAGGTTGCATAAAATGGAACCAGGAGGGTAGTTGTGGTGATACTACTTCTCCAAGGGCCTGTGGAATTTCAGAGGAGGTGTATATCACCTCAGAGTATTCCAAAGCATCTCCTCACAGGATTTATTTCCAAAGGACACCTGAAACTGTATTTTCCTGTTGCTCAGAAATCTTGGCATGCCCTAGAGGCTTTGCAACAACTAATCCTTGGCCGTTTTCTTTACTGCATGAAGGAACCCCTGTGCCACAGATCACCTGGGTGAAGGATGGGCAGACTCTGGCTGAGGATGGGGATCACAGGCTGCTGTCCAGTGGCCGTTCCCTGCAGGTCACCCACGCTCGGGTCACGGACACGGGGCGATACACGTGTGTCGCGTCCAACGCGGCCGGCGAGAGGAGCAAAACTTACAGCCTCAACGTCCTCGGTAAGGCAGCTGGGCTGGCTCCTGCACAGAAATGCTCCTCTCATGAAGAAGCAGATCAGCATGTTGGAGTTTTGTAAGGCTTTAATGACAGCAATGCTCATGCTGCCTGTCTGTGATTAAAATTTTGGAGCTTAGTAACTGATCAGTGATAGTGGTTTAACCCCAGCAGCAGCCAAGCCCCACAGAGACGTGTGCTCACTGCCCTAGCAGCAGGATGGGGGAGAGATCAGAAGGGGAAAAGCTAGAAAAACTCATGGGATGAGATAAAGGCAGTTTGGTA